TAGTGGCTAATGAGTGTGACGGACGTACATACATATAGTCATGTGGCAGTGTGACGGACGTACATACATGTAGTACAGTAGTGCAATTTTGGCATCCATTGTTGAATTATATCGTTCAATTTAGCCGTTGGTTTGTGATATGGTGTTGAATACAAATGAGTAACGCCAATTTGTTGAAATAATTCATCCATCATTTTGGCTGCGAAATGGCTTCCGTTGTCTGTCAGAATACATCGAGGTGTTCCATATTTTGTAATGATATCTTCCTTAAAGAAGCGAGCAGCTGTCTGAGTGGAGCAATCCCGTACCGCTCGAGCGACGACGAATTTGGATAGGACATCGGTGAGCGAGATGATGTATTTGTTGCCACGTTTTGATGTTGATGAAATTGGACCATGGAAATCCATCGTTAGCAGTTGCCAGACTCCATCTGGAGGTTTGATGGGCTTTAATGCACCGGAAGGTTTTTGACGACGAGAATTAAATTGAGCACAACTGTTACTCTTTGTTCATTAAAACTTTATTACTGTATTATATTCACTATTACTTTCTCATAAACTCTGATTTGGCTGACGCAGACTTCAGTTCTATACAGCATTTGCGTGTGGAGATACTAGTGACATTGATCGAGTTACAAGAAATGGCAGTGGCAACAGGGGATCCAATATACTTTTGTGCACTTCACTTCGATGTGTTCGTCGTGATTGATGAGCGCCTGAGAGTGTGTCCATCAGTGAAAATAGGGAACCAAAAAAGGCTTTAACGCTAAGGACGTCTTTTATAGATGATTCACACGGAGTGAAGTTTTTTTTGCAGCCCTAAACTACTGCCAGATAACAGCCCAAAACACTAGGCTGTCGCAGAATTGTCTTACAACTTACTCTGAAGAGAAATTTTATAGTTTAGAGTAGAATCGAAGACAATTGTTCTGTGTCTTATCTTAACTCGCTACAGTAACGACGAAGACTTTACAGGCAAGGGAGCGCGTGCACACTTGTGTTCACGTTGTTTATTAGATATGGTTTATTTATTATATGAGTAAATATCCTAAAGTACAAGAAAAAATAAAATTGCAATTAAAACAACATTCCTCCGTTCTTACAAATGAATTAATTGATCAGTTACGTTACATTATCTGGTTATTAAAGAAATTCTCAGCCATTCATCAGTTGCTGATATTGCTATCCGCAACGTTGACGAACAAAGTAATAATAAATTAATAACTGATGGTATTAGTTTACGTCAAGGTGGCTCACCTGGAGTTACTGTATCAAATTCATATCATGATGCACGATATTGGAAGATCGATCCTTTTCTCTATTCTATCCTGAACGTTTTTTAGAAGATGATCGAAATCATCCTACATATACTTCTATATCATTTGGTATTGGACATTATCGCTCATGCCGGAAAACATCTGACACTCTATCAATTAAAAGTTATCTGTGTAAGGTTCATGAAAATCGTCACTTTTAATGATGCAGATTATCTAAACAGCAACCGTAATGTCAAAACACAAGGTGGAGGTTTTGTTGGTTTGACAAACTTGACAATTTATATCAAACATGATAATCAAGATAAATAACCTAATGAGCAATGACTTTTAACTTTATTTCAGAGACTATTCACATAAAAAACAGTTACACAAAATAGACACTGGCGGCATAAAATCAGAAGAAAAGAATTACACGTGAATGAGCTCATTGAATGAAATCATAATATCTTCATTTATTTATCAAAAGGGTCAACACTTGAAACTATGCTTTTAAATGAAAGAAAAAAACAGTAGGTTGGCTTTGTTTCGTAAACTGTAAACTTAGTTCCGTTTTTGATATAAATACGATGAAAATAAGAGGTACTTTTTAATATAAAATTATTCTCTATTCATTACGTGTGTGGACTAAAGTAATCTAACTATTACGACGCACTAGTTTTACATCATCTTAAATACATCATATCATCGTTGTTTTACTATGCTGTCTCATGAAAGTGGCTGCTAGTGATGATCTTGCCTTGGAAAAATCCTTATTCGGTGCTCGTACAACACCGTAAGTTTATAGTCTCTTCGTTTTTCTCCATAGATATTTCAACTTCCTATTATACGTCCGACTTTTGTAGATTGAGCTGCAATACAATGATTTATAATTATGGCCCACCGGGAATGGTTCATCAAGATGATAACTATGAATGTAATTCAAATCCAAAAAACGTTGTTCGTGGCCATTGTATAACGGGTGTTGGCTGATGCAATATTGCATTGCAATCAAGATTCGAATTGTGGTGGTTATGGTTTAACAATAAATGCAAATTATCACCGTATTTATGATAGACATGATATACCGGCTGTTCAACTCTATAAAGTTGGTTCAATAGCATATGCAAATCCCAAGTGGCTTTTCTATGGAAAAAGTTGTTTTAAATATATAACATGATTACAAACGGACACATATGTAATATGATACTTTTTTTACATGAAATAAGAGGTGTTTATTTAATAAAGAGAATACCGAAAGGTACTTCATCATTCTAGTCGTGTTTACAGCGATACAAACACACTGTTATTTAGCAGTTAGAAAGAAAGGACACATCGTCAAGATCAATATATAAAGGAAGACGCCATAAATTGTATTCGATACATCTCTGCTACATTTCTAATTGCAGATTATGATGCAAGATAATTACATTGTGTTGTACTTAAATTTTCAAGATCTATTCAATTTTGTGTACTTTGTACCTTGACAGAGATATTGCTTACTAGATGTTCACCGAGCGACCGTTTCTAGATCAAGATTTAAACGGCTCCTAATTTTAAAAAAATTACCTTGTTGTCCGATTTCATTAAATAATCTTCAGTCAACTGCCTGGCATATGTGAAATTTGACCTACTGCTTTGTAGGAAATCTAATACAATAATAAATCCAGGCTGAATCAGTAACAAGACACTATCTATCACAAATATTGACTATTCTTCATTCGATTATCTATGTATAAAAAGGCACTTTTATCAAATGCCATACATAAAACGATTTCAATACCGAAAATATGTTGGATTATGCAGTTTTCTTCACTCTCATTATTCTCATCAGTGATTTAAATGGTAAACCAACAGGTTCTGTATCAGCTGATCCAGAACGTTGTTGTGTTCCACATCAATACACTTCACAAATTAGTACATCAACAGGACTGTTACTCCCCGATGGAAAAACATATGCGTCATATGTAAGTGCTGAGCTAACGAGACATTTCGATTTTCAATGAAAATTTACTCATTTTCCAGGCATATTATAATTATACGTATGATGCTGATCGTGGAATGATTGCAATGAAAGGTGTTGCATCTGTTTTACCGAATCAACAGAAAACAAATTTATGGGTTATTGAAAATATGAAAACTGGACAGATCTATACGTTTTACGAAGACTTAAAAAGATGTGACAAAGCAGTAGAAACACTTAGACCAGTTCAATGCATATTAGGTAATTGATAATGGAAATAACCAGATAACTAATATTTCTGTTTGAGAATAGACACAGCAACTTTTATACGTTCATTTACATATGGATACGGCTCAAAAGAAATTATTGGTGATACGTGGCTTATTCCAGGTGATGGTTTTATAAATTATGTCACAGTTAGCCGCGATGGTCTTTGTGTACCATTGACTTTATATGTTTTCTTTCAAAAACCTTCAACACCTTGTAAGTGAATGTTTAATGTAACTGAATATTTTACCGATTTCTCTTTCATCATTTAAGCAATGGTCAATTCAATCACAACAACCGACTTTGTTCCGGATATCCTTGATCCAAGTGTCTTTGATATTCCACCGGAATGTCAAGCACTTCTTTAGCTTTGACTGGACTTCCGACAAAATAGACACACATATAAAATCTTTTTTTTCTGTTTATTGTTAAATTCAAGCGACTTTTTTTTTGCCACAAGGTTTAGTTCACCATTCATTAATTAATCTTTAACAAAGACAAAAATTACAGTTCGAAACATTCGAATAGTGAGATTACAGAGTTCAGTTGGCTAGTAACTAAAAGAACACATCTCGTAATGAGTGTTCAGTTGATGAAAAATAACCTCGATTTATTTGTCAGTCATTTCAATTCGATTCTCATCTTCATAGACAATAAAAGCAACAAAACGAACAGTGCGATGTTATTTATTTCTGCCATACTCTCCAGATTATTTCTATTTGTAAAAAGGTCGTATTGACAAGTAAAAGGTATTCATGCAACAAAAGAATTACAAAAACACACTCTGTACAATATGTTTTATGTAGTATATTTCTACAAACAACAAATCAGGATGTAGCTTCTTCTTACATTTGCATAAGGATGAATAAATAAAACACAAAAAGAAAGAATATTTACTTCATCCATTCAAAACAAAACCATACCAAGATAATTTTTCTTCAAAATAATCTGAATTCAGTAGTTTGTGTGTATCTGAAGGAATGATCTTGAATTGCTAAATTAAATCGGATAAAAATCATCTGAAGAATCCTTTAGCATATCATTAGAGCAAAACATGACACAAACTACTGAATTCAGATTATAAATATTCTGGAGTGTCGAGGTTCGATTTTCTCTTCATCTTACTAATACATTTATTCTAACTCTGAAAAAATG